GATCGGAGCCAGAGCCCCATAGAGGGGCAAGGCCCTGTCCCCCATTCTCTTCTCATCCGCTCCCCCGTCCCCACAGCAGCCGCATCACCCACAGCCTGCTGGCTGCGCACAGCTATGGCACAGAGGTGCATAGGCTGCTGCCCCCTGTGGCCCAGGAGCTGGTGGCCAAGCTGAGCAAGGACACGGACCTGCTGGTGCAGAAGGTTTCCGGGGACCTGCGGGAGCTGAACCAGAAGGTGCAGCCATACATTGAGGAGCTGCAGCAGAGCGTGGAGGAGCTGCAGGTTGGGCTGGCGCCCTACGCCGAGGGGCTGCTGGAGCAGGTGCACAGCCAGCTGGGTCCCTACGCCCAGGACCTGCAGGGGCAGCTGGGCTCCCTCTGGGCCTCCTTCCTGCAGCACTTCCAGTGAGGGGCCTGCGCTGGTGGGGAGATGGGAACACAGAGCCAGGCGGGCGGGGGCGAGACATGGACCCCATCCATCCATGGAGCCCATGGGACTGGGAGCACAGACCCCATCCATGCACGGAGCCTTCAGGGGTCACAGGTGCTCGAGAGGGGGCAGCCTCCTCTCTAAGGGCCCCTGACATGCCCAGGGTCCCCGTCCCATCACCCCTAGTCACTCCCTGTGTCTGTAACAACCTCCCAGGGGCTCAATAAACCACCTGCTGATTGATCACCCCGTGTGCTGCTGCTGCGTCCCTGGGGGAGGGGAGCAGCTGTTATAATCGAGCTCGGGGCTCTGCCCCAGGCAGGGTCCTGCAGCCCCGCTCCGTGAGGGAGAACGGGCTCTTAGCCAAGCGACGTGTGGGGCGCAAGCCAGGGGCATGATCATGGACATGTGACGGGCGGAAATAGGGCCGTCTTCTGGGTGGGGGCCTTTCCCCTTCGAAACTCTCCCCACGGTGATCCCCGTAAACCTCTCCCCTAGGGCTTGCGCTATCCCTGCCCTGCTGTGACCTCCCGATAAACAGCTCTGCCCAGTGTTACTCACCAACTTTCCTCACCATGCTGTCTGCAGTGCAGGCCCACTGGGGCTGGCACTGCCTGTGAGTGGGGAGCCCCCCCTCCGAGCCTCCCCACTGCTCTGCAGCACAGGCCCCCTGGCACTGCATTGGAGCCAGCACTGCCTGTGAGGGGGAGAGCGCCTCCTACTGAGCCCCCCACACATACACCCCGCTCTGCAGCATAGGTCCCCTGGCACTAGAGTTGCCAACTGTCTAATCACAGAAACCCAAACACCCTTGCCCTGCCGTGTCCCGCCCTGGATCTGGGCTGAGGTCGAGGGGTTCGGAGTGTGGAAGGGGGCTCCGGGCTGAGCCTGGGGTTTGGGGTGTAGGAGGGGGTATGGGGTGCAAGCTCTGGGAGGGAGTTTGGGTGCTGGAGGGGGTTAAGGGCTGGGGCAGGGGGTTGGGGGTGCGGGATGCAGGCTCCGGTTGGGGTCTCCGGGCTGGGGCAGGGAATTGGGGTACAGAAGGGGTGTTTAGCTGCTGGTGGGAGGCTGGCTGAACAGAAAGGGCTTCTGGCTCTGGTTGGCCATTGGGCACATCAAACACCACAATATTTACCTGGCAGCAGGGAGCACCGGGTGCAGAGGGCTGTCGGGACCTTTATTTAAGGCACCGCCGTGACTAGATGCTGTTGGCAGTCCTGCTCCCGCATGGGTGTGCGCAGCACCCTTCTGCTGCCACAGGCAACAGTGTGGGGCGGGGCTACTCTGTCATGACATTTTTTTTTCTTTAACTTTGCAAATTCGAGGGTCTCTGGGCAGGGGGCAAGATTGCCCTGCATCCTTCGGGGGGGTGGGGGGGGATCACTGCTGCCAGTGGCATAGGTGGGATGGGGAATGGGGCACCAGCTCTGATCCAGCCCAAGGGCAGGGAAGTGGCTGGCTCAGGGTGGCAGGGAATGGGACATGGGCCTTTTCCCTCTAGGCGGCGCGGGCGCTGAGCTGTCAGAAGGATGGGGACTGGCTGATGCAGGGGAGGGAATATGGCACCTTTTACATCCTGGGGGCTCCAGTGCTAAGCCTGCCCAAGGGCGGGGGATGGAGGCTGGGGAAGGGGGTGTCACAGGATGTGGCTCCTCTGTGGGACACTGCACGGACACCCGGGGTTGTGCCTTCACTACCCCCTTTTATTTTAAGTGCCCTCCTCCATTTCTACAACAATCCCCATGTGCCAGCCCAAACAGCACCAAGCGCGCTTCTCGGCCCTCTCCCCAGGCCCTCCCTTGAGGCCTCTGTGTTACTGAATCAACTAGCGCTGATCAGGGCCGCATTAACTTTTTGTGGGCCCGGCGCCAAACATATTGGTGGGCCCCCATGTGGTTGTGATGAACCCCTTCCAGATATGGTCCTAGGTGACAGCACCATTGATGCCATAGTAAATGTGGTATTGCCGGGATGGGAATGAAAACATTTATTCAAAAACAAATAAGATATTTGAAGCCAAACTGAGACCTCCACTCAGCCCATAGAGAACAAACTGGGCTAACATCGATGTACTCAGAACACTGCATTTGGTTTGTGTGGGAGGGGGGTTGTTTGTTAGTTTTGTTTTTTTTCTTTAAACACTCAGGGCCTGCTTAGGGCCCTGAACACAAGTGCTTAATTAGCACACTTATGAGCCATATTAAGCCCGGATGCAGCAGTCAGTGGTGTCGCACCTGCATCTCCCCACCACCACCTCCTCCACCCAAAGTTATGTTTCCTAAATACATTTTTTGAAAGCTGCATTTTCTACTTTGGTACAATAATGTTTACAAAACTTTGGGGCAGGGTGTGGGGAGGAAAATTGCTGGTGCCCATCTTTTTCAGGGAGAAAGGGTGACTGAAACAGACACTTTACCACAAAGGCTACCACAATCCAGCCTCAAGTTCCTACCCCAATCTTCACACCTGGGCTCTCCTCCCATCCCTCCTACTGTCCCCATCCCACACAACTAACCCCCTAACAAAGGCTCTCCTCAATCTCCCTGCTATTGCCCACTCCCTACACACTTTCACCCCAGGGCTGTCACCTCCCTCTCTTCTACTACCCCCCTTCTACACACACATACACTGAGCCAACCCCCACCTTCAACCCAGACTCTCCCCTCCCTACCTCTGCCCCCTGCCATACCAACCCCCACCTTAACACCCTGCTTCTCCTACACCCCCCACACGGAGTCACCGCCAGCTCCCCCATTGCACCTGGACTTGCCCCACAACTGCCCCGTTCCCCCAAAACTGGGCTGCACCCCCGCCCCTCCCCGGAGGGCAGGGAGGGAGTTTCTGGGCATTCCCACTGGCAGGGGGCGTGGCAGCCAGCACTGACACTATCACTGCCCCCCCTGCTCCCAGGCACCACAGACAATCCGTGTGTGGGGGTGCTGAGGAGGTGTGAGGGGAGTGCAGGGTCAGGGCAGGGCCAGGGGCTCAGGGGGCTGGGGGGGTGCAGGGGTTAGGGTGGGCAGGGGGTTGCGGGGTGGGCTGGGGTCAGGGGGTGCTCACGCAGGGGGCTGGAGGAGGTATGCCCCAATTCCAGCCCCTTCCCCTAGGTCTCACCCCGGCTTGTCTGCTCCTCCTCCCCGGAGTGGCGTGCTGCGGCTCGCTCCTCCTTGCCCCCCTCCTGCCTGCAAGCCTGATCCAACTGACCAGCGCCGGGGGGGGACGGGACGGGACGGGGACGTAGCACGCTGGGGAAAGAGGTGGGGGACAGGCCTCCTCCCCCCCGGACTCGGAGCTGCGTGCTGCGGCTCCCCCCGGCAAGACGTAAGTAGCACGCTGGGGAAAGCGGCGGGGCAGGAGCCAGGCTGCCGGCAGAGGCTGCCACGGAGCCGCAGTATCAAGCTCTGACCCCACAGGAGAGCGCGCCGGGGCCCCTTTCGACCATGGGCCCGGCGCCATTATCAATCCGGTATTGGCGCTGATCCCTCTCGCGGGGCTTCCTGCCTCCTCCTTGGCCCAGCCAGCCTGAGTGTCTAATTCCCGCCACCAGCCTTCTCAAGGGGAGCTCATTAACGCTGGAGTGAGCAGTGCAAGGGCTCACATGTTCACAGAGGCTATCGGGCCTTATTTCCCCTCTGAGCGGCAACATCTCACCGGGAGGGTGGGGGGCACTTTAAAAGGGGCGGCGATAGGGCTTTACTGAACTTGAGGGAGCTTCTCGGGAAGTGGGGACTTGTTGCTACAGCTCTGTGCAGAACTTGACATGGTGGCCCTGGAACGCTTTTTACAGTGGGGGTGCTGAAAGCCCAAATTTTTTACTTTGCACCCCCCCTTATCTCTGTCCGTGTCCCCTCTCCCCAGAGCTGGGGCCAGGACTGGGCTGTGGCTCCGGGAGGGGTGGGGGGGCTGAGGCTGGGACCACAGCTGGGACTGGGAGCAGAGCCCCAGGTGTGGGGCTGGTGGCTGGGACCCCATGCAAAACCTGGGGGTGCTGCATCACGCCCTGCATCCCTAGTTCCCACGCTTATGGGCCAGGGTGGTGCAGTGTAGGGGAAGAGGTGGAGCGAGAGCAGTTTAGAATGTAAGCTGGGGGATGCACTGGGGTGGGGCAGTTTAAAGGGAGCACAGGGGTGGGGCATGTTTAAGGGGGGGATGGTTTAGGGGGAGCATTGGGGGGGAGGTTGAGCAGTTTGTGGGGAGTGGGTAATTGGGGCCATGCCCCTCTACAGGCCTGGTGACCTCCTGCGCTGTGGGGGGATTGACACCCCAAGCCCCCTTCCCCAGAGATGCAGCAGGACCACACATCACTGCATGATTAAACAGCTGGTTTATTGAGCCATGGACGGCTGTATGGGGCAGGGAACCTGCTGCGGGGTGCCTTACGGCGGAGCTGTCCCCCCTCAATCCTGGGGGATCGCCTTGGGCTCCAGGTATGGACAGGGCCTATGAGGCACCCCCACTGGTCTCTTCACTGAAACATTGCATGAAGGCGTCCCAGCGGGAGTTCAGCCAGCCATGCAAGTCCTCAGCATAGGGGCTGAGCTTCTGGTGCAGGTCCCTGGCGTAGGCTGCCAGGCTGCGCTCGAACTCCTGCAGCCCCAGCTCCTGGGCATAGGAGCCCAGCTGCTCCTGCAGCTCCACCCTAGACGGGACGTTGCTGTACGCCTGGCTACCAAGCAGGGTCTTGCTGTAGTGCTCCACCATCTCCAGCGGCCCCTCGGTGTAGGACACCAGGGCATCATGCAGCTGGTCCATGTAGGGCCGCACCTTCCTCTCCAGTTCCCACAGCATTGTCACACTTTTTTCCACCGGCCTGCTCAGGTTCCTCAGCTGCTCCTTGGCCTTGGGGGGCACCTTACGGGCTAAGTCTTCAAAGAAGTTATACATTTTCCTTTCAAGTCTCCACTCCCTGCAAAGAAAGGGAAGCAGCTTACAGTGACTCACCCTCTGGGCTGCTGGCTCTGTCTGACCCCAAGGCAGAAGGATTGGCTGGATTGGGAGGTGTCTGGGATGGGAATGTGATCCCAGGGCAGGAGGACTGGCTGGCTCATGGGGGTTGGGAATGTGATATGGGTCCTCTTCACCCCCAGTGTTGCTGGCTTTGATCTGGCCCCAGCTCCCAGGTCCCAGCGGCATCGGGCCCTGCCATGCCAAATAATGGACACAATTCTGCACCCGTTGCTGAATCGCCAGCGTCCCTGGGGTTGGCCAGGCCAATCCCTGCTGAGCTCGTGGGGCTTGCTGGGCCCAGAAGCAGAGGTGTGGGTCCTGCAGTCAGGGGTGACTCTAACCCCTCTACTCTGGGTCCCTGGCATGGATGGGGGGGCTCCCAAACCCTGCCTCCAAGTCAGGGCAGGCGCCTCACTCGATCTCCTGGCCCAGTTCAGATTTCTGGATCAGCTCCGTGGTCATTCTGATAAGTTGCTCCAAGTTACGTTCGATGGCGTCTGCAACCTGGTCCAGCCTTGGCTTGGGTTCCTTGCCGAGGGGAGAGGCCTTGGAGCCTGGGAAAGGAAAGGGATCCCCAGTGAGACAGTGTCATTGCAGGCCCCAGGGCTGCCCTGGCCTGGAGAGACCCACTGAGCTACCGCTCCCTGGAAGGAGGGGCACATGGTAACTGCACTGGGATGCGGCTCAGGACTCCTGGGTTCCAACCAGCTCTGGGAGGGGAATGGGGTCTAGTGGTTACTGCAGAGGGGCTGGGAGCCCGGACCCCTGGCTTCTATCCCAGCTTTGCCACAGACTCCTGACAAGGCATTGGGACACTGGGATTGGCAGACTGGATCAGCCCCATGGTTTGTCAAGGCCAGTATCTAGAAGCTGGCACCCAGTGGTTCAGGGGAACGTGCAAGAACCCCTCAGTAGCAGATGTGGGTATTTTTCCTCCTCACCCTAATAGTTAGCACTGGGGCAGCCGGGTTTATGCGCCTCCCAAATCTTTAACTATGGTCATTCTGGATACTCCCATTATCCATAGAAACGCCTCTGTGAATCCTGTGAAGATCTTGGCATCAGCAACTTCCTGTGACAGTCGTTCCACTGGTTCTGAATTCATCACCTGCACTGCCATTGACTGTCCCCCGTCCTAAGGGTAGGAGCTGGGGGAACAGAGTATCCTGATCCCCTGCAGTCGATCACAGACCTGATTATTGGAGATGAGTTCCCTGATCACCCTTCACCCTGCTGAGCACCTAGAGGATAATAGGCTTCTAAGGCAAATGTTCTCAAACTGTGGTCCATGGACCACCAGTGGTCCGCAAGCTCCACTAATTAGGTGACTGGACCCTGGAGAAGACACACATGTAAGGTGAGGGGATGGCCTTGGGGGGAATAGGGGGTAGATGGGAGGGGGCAGTGGGGTCAGAAGAGGGGGTGGGAGGAATTTGGGACATGCAGGGCTGCGGCCGGCAGAGAAAGAGGCGACTTTCCCCAGCTCCAGGGCTGTGGCTGCCGGGGAGAGACGTCCGTCTTTTCCAACCTCAGCTCGGGGGCTGGTGTGGTGGGGGAGATACCCACTCCTTCCCAGCCCCAGCTCAGCGGCTGCGTGGCTCCTGAGACCCCCCCACCCTTCCCAGCCCAGGCAGAGAGGGCACATCTATCGCCTTAGAAAGGTAAGACTACTGATGTTAAAATATGAGTTGTGTGATTTTATTTGTAGAACAAAAAAAATTATTAAGTTTATTTTTATATAGCACTTTTATCCAAAGCGCTTTACAATAGTTAGCTAACGGTACAAACGACATTTGAAAAGAGCATTAAGTGGTCCGCCGAGACCCTCAGCAATTTTCAAGTGGTCTGTGAAAAAAAAACATTGCGAACCACTGTTCTAAGAAATAGCCACCAGAGATTTGTCAAGAAGAAATCATGCCCAGACAGTTCCTTCTTTGTCAGGGTTACTGGGCTAGTGGCCAGAGGGGAAGCTGTAGCTGTGATTATAGCTTGATTTTTTCGTAAGGCTTTTGATACAGTCCCATGTGACATTCTCAGAAGCAAACCAGGGAAGTGTGGTCTAGAGGAAATTGCTATAAGGTGGGTGCAAAAGTGGCTGAAAGATCACCCTCAAAGGGTGGTTATCAATGAGGCACTTGTCAAACTGGAAGGGGTCCCATAGGGTCCCAGTGGGGTTCCAAAGGGTCCCAGTGGGGTCCCAAAGGGGTCTGTCCTGGGTTCAGTACTAGTCAATATTATAATTAATGACTTGGAGAATGGAGTGGGTAATGTGCTTAAACATTTGCAGATGACACCAAGCTGGGAGGGGTTGCAAGCACTTTGGAGGACAGGATTAGAATTCAAAACGACCTTGTTGATTTCTGTCCAATTCTCCAATTTATCATGATTAAATTCAATAAAGGCAAGTGCAAAGTACTTAATTTAGGAAGGAAAAGTGAAATGAACAACAACAAAATGGGGAATAACTGGCTAGGCAGTAGTACTACTGAAAAGGATCTGGGGGTTAGAGTGGATCACAAATTGAATATGAGCCAACAATGTGATGCAGCTGCAAAAAAGGTTTATATCATTCTGGGGTGTATTAATAGGAGTGTGCTATGTAAGACATAGGAGGTAACTGTCCCACTCTATTTAGCACTGGTGAGCTCTAGGTTTACTTGGAGTTGCCTCGGAACAGGGGGCTGCACTAGATGAACTCTTAAGGTGCCTTCCAGGGTTCATTTCTCTGATTCATTCAGACTGACAGAAAGAGCAATTAAACATCCCTTTTTGTAGTGAGAACTGATACCAGAGAAGCCACTGCCCAAGGCACTCACCAGAAGGGCAAGGCCTGAGCAGAAGCCGTGTGGGCCAAGGGGTTTCCCTAGTGACTGATTTCAAACGCAGGGGATGGGGCACTGGTTGGCAGCAGCTGTGTATGTCTGTGTGTATCAAAGGCACAAAGCTGGCAGACAGGGAGAGACGCTGTTGTGAGCATTGGCCTGGGAGGGAACAGAGCTAGGGCTCCTTGGAGCACAGAGCTGGTGGAGAGGCAAGCTTGGATTTCTGGAAAAGGAAACCACCTGCTGTTGTATGTTCCTGCTGTGTTCAGGGGAAAGGAATTCTGTGCCCATTCTCTGTAAATCAACAGGATTGTACCAAAAACGAGACCTGACTCTTACCATCGATTTGGGGCCTTGCCAGAGAGATATTGTCTGCCAGTTGTAGAAGGGAACAATACGTTTATCACATCCCCTTTTATCTGTCTCCTTTTTAGACAACACGCCCAGTGTTTTCATCCTGTCCTCCCAGGGCATTTCCCCAGACCCTGACTCCCTCTCATTGCCTGTCTTTGAGCCCCCACCGATTCTCCAATATCCTTTTTACACCAGTGCAAAGTGTTTACACCGGGGGTGTGTTTGTGGATTTTTTCCGCTGCCCTGACAGTGTTCCAGTCAGCCAGCGTTCACACCCGTGAGGCACACCACAGTTCTGATCTGGATGTGTCTTACACCGGATGCAAACTGTTTTACACACTAAAGGGTTAGACCAGTGCCAGAAACATCCAATGTAGACAAGTCCTGAGACTCCCCAGCCGGCGCTCTGCCTGATTGAATGGATCGGGACCCAGGAAACAGAGCGCCTCGCTGAATGCTTAGCAAAGCAGGGTGTTCCCAGAGCTGGGAAAGGCTCAGTCGGCTACACTGTTTCTAATTCATGTTTCCTGCTCCCCCCAAATCCAAGCTGCATTCCCTCCCCTCTCCCCCGCTCCTGTGACCGAGTCTCTATCAGCTACTTTAGTGGTTTCCACTTGGAAAGTCAAAGTTGATTCCTGTGGGAGAGGGTGCCCAAAAGACCTGGCTTCCAGGCAGAGGGATCCCCACACACACTGTCAGCCAGCGCCCAATGGGGCAGGCGTGGGGCTGCACCGAGACACACTCACCTAGCACGGCCAGGAACAGGACAGCAGTGAGAAGCTTCATGCTGGGAGTTTCCTGGAGAACCTGGCAGGATGGAGGAAAGAGACAAGTTAGAGCCAAGGGAGAGTGGATGGGGTAACAGCCCTGTCATCCCCGCCTCCTCCTGTCACTCATTAACCTCAGCACCATCCCCACATGACCTGGCCATGAGCTCTGTCTACAGTCCAGTGCTGGGGGTAGGGCTTTGGGCTCCCAGCCCCCGAAATGAAACTGCCTGGGCTGGTGCTGCCCAGAAAGCCCTGATCTGAGACTAAAAGAACAGGAGTACTTGTGGCACCTTAGAGACTAACAAATTTATTTGAGCATAAGCTTTCGTGGGCTGAGATTGTTTCTCTCCATCCCCACAGCTAAAGCTCTCATCATCTCACGGTTCAATTGCTGCTGCAGCCTTCTCTCTGGCCTGACAAATGCAGTCTGGCCCCACTCATATCCATTCAGAATGCTGCCTGCTGCAAAGATCATGTTCTTTTGGCCAAAACAATGGGCTATCTCTCCGCTCTGGCTGGCTCCTCTTCTCTATGGTAGTGTTACACCTCTGACCCAAGCAGCTAATCCAAGTTCGGGGCCCTGGCGATGTCCCAGCTGGGAGTACAAATTCATGATGGAGTCCGATATTGTCTTGAATGCAGGCTTGTTTATTCACAGAGTGTACAAAGTCCTGCTTCTGCAAACTAGCACTAGCAGGAGGAATGAAAACCCCAAACGATACTCAGAGCTTGTCTGCACTTCAAGCACTGCAGCTGCACCGCTGAAGCGTGTAGTGAAGACACTATGTATGTGGGCGGTAGCGCTTCTCCCACCTGTGTAGGTACTCCACCTCCCCGAGAGGCGGTAGCTTTGCCCACAGGAGAAGCCCTCCCATCGACATAACGCTGTCTACAGGGGGAGTTCGGTCAGTATAACTGCATCGTCCGGCTTTTCCACACCCCTGAGTGACGTAATTAGACTAAGGTAAGTTCAGCATGTAGACCAGGGCTCGGCCAAAGGCCCTTTCCCCATCCAGTTTAAAACTCTCTAGGGGGTTCACGACGCCTCGATTTTAGGTGTGGGGGCTTGTAATTAATGTACCCTGACAGTTATATTAATTGAAGGTGAGTTCACACCAGTCTCAGAGGTCTGTGACCCGTGCAGTCCCCAGTTTCTCTCAGCATAACAACACCAAGCATAAGCTATTTATTTTCACTTCCACGGCCTTCCACGGCCTAGCTTCACCCTACCTGTCAAGTTTCATTCAGTATCAGAACATCAGTCCCCACCTCCATGGGCCTGTGCTGTCCACTTCCATCACCCGCCTGTCCTAATTCTAAGCACGTCCCTGGTGCTTTCTGCCATGGGCCCCTCACATGGGGGAGGCGTGCCCTATAAACACTCACAAAGCAAGTCTCAACCTCATTCTCCACCTTCACATCCCTCCTCAGCACTCACCTTCCCGATGAGGCCTACAAATGACACCGGCCAGGCCCAGACCGCAGCCTGTCATGTTGATCCCTATTGTCTCCTTGTCTCCTTGTCCGGCTGTTTCCATTCGCTGTCCCTTGTCATGTATTGTAAACTCTGCGGGGCAGGGACTGTCCTCCTGTGCTGTGTTTGTACAGCGCTAGCACACTGTGGTCCTGGTGCATGAGGAAGCTCCTTGGCGCTACCATAATTCACCTATTAAAAATAATAATACGAGACAGTCAAACACTGTCGCTTGTATCAGCTGAATTCATTGCCCCCTCAGGGCTTCCTTGCGTCTTTCCATTCCTCCCCCCCATGCCTCTAAGTGCCACCCTTGCAGCCCCCTCTATTTCAGGGTCACCCCGTATCTCTCCCATTGCCCGCCAGGCAGGGCTTCTGTGAGACCTCCATTCTCCCCTCCTCCCACGCCAGGGTCCCGCATTCTCCCCCAAGTGCAAGGGCTGTGTGCGTGCCACCCTTCCTGCTCCCCACCATCATCATTTGTCTGGAAAATAATTCATCCAAGTGTCACCATGTTCCATGCTATTGGGATGCTGGGCCCTGGGCGGGGGTTTTGTTATGCTGGAAGGAGTTAATGGTACCACCAACCAGCTGTTCAATCTTCCCTGTTTCTCCCCCATGCCGCCCCCCCCCCCCGCACTTTTCACTTTTCCAATTTTCCATCCATGCCTAGAAATGCCCTGAAATTTTGGAAGTGATTGGGTGCAATGTTCAAAAGTGACCCTGTAACAGACAGACATGGAAATACCACCAAGTCACGCATCAGGTCTTCGCAAGCTTGGCCAATAAGTAAAAGGTGAGAAGGTGACCGTCGCTAGCTCTCTGTTGCCCCTCTTGCAGCCCCTTTTCACTGGCTCAGGGACCGTTCTGTGTCTGCACTGTAGTGCCTGCCACATGGATGGGTTCCTGCACTACCAGTAACGCAGAACTATAAGGATAATAACACCAGGCAAACACTAACGCAATGCACATGCCGCTGGCGGCCTCACTGCAGGCCCCGCTCCCTCCCAGCTCTGATCTGGTCTCATGATCGCTCCTCACTATGAATCACCCTTGCTGACTTGTTTACTGGGACCGCTGAGCTCAGCTCCGGGGTTCTCCCAAACTGCCTCCAGCTTGGAACCCAGGGCAGAAATCAGTCGCTGCTGCCGGAGCTGGGCTCAGGCCCCCACAAGTGTCTGGACTTTGGAACTGGGACCTCAGAAAACGTGGTATAGAGGCAGTGGGTTGGGCACCAGCCTCAGAGCCAGGAGACCTATTACCCAGCTTTGCCACTGACCTGCTAGTCCTTTCCCCTCCCTGGGCCTCAGTTTCGCCTCCCCCCATTGGGATTTTAAACTCTTTTAGGCAGGGCCCAGGGACCTTCGGTGTGTCTACGCTGCAGCTGGGAGGGTGCTTCCCAGCATGGGTAGCCAGACACCTGCTGGCTGTGCTCAAGCTAACGCACTAGCAGCACAAGCAGCGGCTCTGGCTAGCCACCTATGTAATGTACCCAGGGGATCAGGACGCTGGTACTTGGGTAGCTAGCCCAAGCCACTGTCCGTGCCACAGAGCCCACAAGGCTATTTTTGGTGCCCTAGCTCCAGCAGAGCTAGGGTTTGTCTGTCTCCTTGTATTGGGAAGCACCCTCCGCCCAGCTGCAGTGTAGAGTTACCCTGTGTGGCTTTGCAGAACCTGGCACAAGATGCTGGGAGTCAGGGCTCCTAGCTCTGGGAAGGGCATGGGGGCTAGTGGGTTAGAATGAAGGCTGGTGACTGGCAGTCAGGACTCCTGGGTTCTGTCCCTGGCTCTGGGAGGGGCGTGGGGTCTAGTGGGTTAGAGTAGGGATAGGGACCGGAGCCAGGACTCCTGGGTTCTGCCTCTGGGAGGGAAGCAGGGGAGACTTGGGAATCTGGCTGCTGTGTGACTGAGTGAGTCACACCTCCTGTCTGCCACTCGACAGACTCACCCTTTTAAAATGGGGATGGTGATGCCAACTGTTGCCCCCCCCCCCCCCCCCCAAGATCTGTGAGTGAAACATGCTACAAAACACATTCTCTGGTTTATTGTCTTCTCTCCTCTCCACTTGGGCACTGGGAATCCATGTTGCCAGGGAAGGGGGGTTGTTGACACTAGCAGAGGATTTGCAGTCAGGTGGGGAAACCTAAGGGGGATGGGGAATGTGGGAAGGAGATGAGTCTGCAGCTGGATGAGGAATGCAGTTTAACAAGGGGGCCTGGAAAGGGGTGAGGAGTTCAAGTGAAAGAGCTGGAAATCCTGGCTCCACACCACAGAGGAATGTGCAGAGGTTGGAGCCCAGTGATCTATGATCACAAGCAGAGTCCTCTGCTGACACGACAGCGCTGGGGCTCCGCGCAGAGGTCAACTGGCAGCAGATAAGGCCCAGGCCACAGCGTGGTACTGACAGCAAACTGCAGCCTCAGGGACCTTCCCTCCCACTTTGCAGCTGGAGATATTTACTGGCCTGTGGTTTTCTTCCCAGCAAATCTGGAGGGTGCCACGTTGGGGCATCCGGCGATAGAGCCTGATTTCAGACCACCTGACACTGCATGTAATAATCCCTCGTGGAAAGGAAGAGGCAAGTTCAACTGTGTTATTCCAGGCTCCTGCACAAACCTCTAACCCAGAAACCAACAGCGTTTAATATAGAATCAGCCTTTGTTATGCAAATAAGCTTCTATTACATAATTACAGCCCCAAGGCAGGTCCCAGCCAGGTGGGCCTGGAAACCAATTTTCTGTTTATCTGTTTGGAAAAACAAACCCTGAAGACATTTTGCCAATGTCACCGTGCACCGTGATGGCATCACCCTGAACCTGGCTCGCACTGCTACGCAGGGTTACCCTGGGTCAGTGTTTGGATGGGAGACACACTCAGGGAGTGGGTCGTTCTTCCCGGGCAGTCAGTGTTGGTTCGGACGCTCCAGCAAGGCGGCTCGGGAGAGGGTGCTCTCCTGTCTCAGTCAGTGCTGACCCCAGTGTGGCAGTAGGGGGTGGAGGGAAGGGCACTCTCTGTCACAGTGCAGGGCAATTGCAACTGGATGTCCTGGCCCTTGCCATTCTGAATGGAGACCCACCTCGCTCCCCTCTGAGCAGGAGATTCCCAGGGTGCACAGCTCCCTGCCTTCACCCCATTCCCCCGCCAAGCCGGCTGCCTAGCACGCCTGCTTGCTTTCCCGTCAGAGCTGGGTGGCACAGGGATTCCTACACTGCTACCCAGCTCTTTGTAAGCAGCCAACATACATCTTAAGGTAAAAGCATTACAGAAAAAACCCAAAGAACCTACACGCGTGCTAATGAGCTGAGCAGGACCCCCACCCTACGAGGGACTCTGGCAGGAGCAGTGCGTGTGGCTACCAGGGCCGGCTCCAGGGTTTTGGCCGCCCCAAGCAGCCAAAAAAAAAAAAAAAAAAAAACCGCGATCGCGATCTGCGGCGGCAATTCGGCGGGAGGTCCTTCGCTCCGAGCGGGAGTGAGGGACCATCTGCCAAATTGCCGCCGAATAGCTGGACGTGCCGCCCCTCTCTGGAGTGGCCGCCCCAAGCACCTGCTTGCCAGGCTGGTGCCTGGAGCCGGCCCTGCTGGCTACCAGCTCAGAA